ATAAACCTACATGGGGAACAGGCGTCAGCGTTACATCCACCGACTATCACAGCATATGCTTCAGACATTGACGCATCAGCTACCCCAACATATGCTTCAGAAATTACCGCATCAGATACTCTACCTACCTCATCCTAATGCACCAGGGAAACAAATACCAGCGGCTCCACAACCTGGAGCCACAACCACAGGATGGACTACCATCCTCTACATGCGACGCCAGCACCGGCACCGGTACTGGCTACATTTCAGGATCACCCTATGCAACCGGCAGCAACAATATAAACAACTACGGCACAGGCATGCTCACCGGCCCATACCAAAACTCCACCCAAACAGGAACAGAAACCGGAACCGCAGCAATGGATTCCTCCCCCGCAACAACCACAGACTCCACTCTAAAATCAATAACCACATCTCTATTCAGTAGTAACAACGCCCCCACCTCTCCATCTTCTTCAGAAACTCCCTCCCAATCTACACTCATCATAGCACCTCCCTCCAGTACCTCCAGTACGAACGGAATGGGCATCGCTGCTACGGGGATTAATTCTACGACGGGCGCGCAACAAACTACTCTTTCCGGCTGATTCGGGGAGAGTACGTGTTTCGGGGTTGTTTTGGATGGGGCATTTGGGGTTTGTGTTTTATGTGGGGTGGGTTGGGGGTGAGGGTGGTGGGTTTGGGTTTTGATTTTGATTTTTGAGGAAGGGGTGTGAGTATGTTTTTGGTTTTTTATTTGAGAAGAGCAAGGGAAGCGGGTTTGAAGATTTTGAGAGGAAGAAAGAAGGAAAAATAACTTACCTAGAAATGAATATGTGGAATTAATATAATGAATGAATGGGATTGATTAGATATCTTCCATTTATTCATGATATTTACTAAGCTATTCAGAGATATCAATCTTTCTCTCTCTTTTTATTCTCTTGTCCTGTACCGGATATCCCGAGATAGATAAAGATGTGAGTACAACTGGTGAGTGGTATATAGATATTGCACTTGTATTTATACCCAACTATACCTAGACCTATAAAAGATGTAGATATGAGCATCGATATGGATATAAAGAAGAATAAGAAGAAAATCCATATACATCAATCCAACACTGCATGTTCCAATCCACTACCTACCCGTATATTCCTTTCAATAACCTCAGTACTCAGTATTTTATCTAAATCAATACGCAAAATACTCCTCCGCATTATAATCACATAATCCACTTACCCAGTATCTACCAATATATACTAATATTCATTAACCTAACCTTACCTTACCTACCTCATTACAGTCACAATCACAATAAATAAATACAAGAATTATCCATTATCTTACCTCACCTTACCCATTCTCAAACAACAACACAACAAATACAAAAACAACACACACTTGTAATAAAAAATTTCATAACTCTCCTCCCCTCTCCTCGCCTGTCCTCCCCTCCCCTCCCATTCCGTATCTTTCATTTTTCGACCAAAAGCGGAAAGGGGAAGTGAAAGGCTTCTCTCTGTCTGTCTGTTTGTTCGTTTATAATATACAATGACCGTTTCTTTCTTTTCTTCTTTTCCTCCTTTCCTCTTTTTCACCCTTTTAATCTTCATCTTCATCTTCAGCCCCATCCCCATCTGCATTTCCATTCCATTCCATTCCATCCGATCTTCATCTTTATCTCCATAAATCCCCCACATCTCAACCTAACCTCCTCACATCAAAAACCACGAAATCTCCCATCTAAATCAATCCAATTCAGCGCCTCAATCTCAATCTCAATCCCATTCATAATCTCAATGCTACTCCCTAATCCTAATCCTATTCCATACATCTACACCAATCATACCCAAAAACACTCATAAAAGATAAATTCCGCCCTAATCCCCAATCCACCTAACCACATTCGTTCCAAAAACACAAAGTTCAACCCCTTTCAAAACTCATCATCACTATCATCACCCAACAACTCTCCTTCATCTTCATCCCACAACCGCATAATCACCTCTACCCCTCGCAAAACTATCTCTCGTCGTAAACCTTCTATTCGAAGATGCACCTCTACCTAAGGCTCCTGAAGCCGAACGCCAAAGCGAAGATGCTAGCAGGGGAGTTGCTTGAGCTACAGAAACTACTGCAGCCACGAACATTACTGGATATTTGATGTATGGAGCTTCGCCATCGAAAGATGCTTTGAGTTTGGTTAGTAAGTATGCTTAATAGAAAATCATTCGAGGGGTTCAAGTTAAACGAAACACGTACATTGTTCACCCAAACGAATTTGACCGAATTTCCCACTCCAATTGCGCCATACCCAGAATCCTACAGCAGTAGCTATACCAATCGGGATAATAACCGCGAAGAATATAGCCCAGCCAGAAGCTGCGTGTTTCTTGTTGAATTCATCTTCATGTCCGGCGCAAGGGAATGCTTCATCACTAACATCCATTTGCTTTCCTCCTTCACAGGTAGTAAGTGGAAGTCGTCGATAGCCTGTAGGTTTATAGTATTCCGAGGTCGTCTCATCGATACGGCATATTGCAGAGTGATCCGGTGGTGAATAACCTTTGACAAGGGCACAAGATCCATCACCTTGACGCTCGTAGTTAAGGTCACTGGTTTCACATTAGTTTCTATCAATTCAATATAATAAAGAAACATACCACTCAAAGTCTCGTCTAGTACAAGTGCAGTTCCTGGCAATATTGTGCAAAGAAGGAATCAATTTTCCATTATAACAATCAGCATCAGTTCTCTTTCGATGATATTGCGAAACATGACCAAAGAGACAGTCGTCATCTTGCTTAGGATGTTTTGGTTGCCAGAGGTAATAATCTCCTCCTTCAACATTTTTCTCATCGAGATCGCACTGCTTTTTTCTCAAACCAGAAAAGTCAAGATTGATAGCTGTGAGACTACCATCAATAACACCCCAAAGGATGAAATTTTGTGAATTGTCACTCGGGACAGTAGTAATATCTTCAACTTTCATTTCAGCATCGGAGAATTTGTAATCGACCCAAGTATCTCCCTCGTTAATAGAATAGTGAACGACATTAACAGATGCATGCTCTTTCACAATGACGATGATCGATCCTTGATCTCCAAATTCCCACATGTAAGCTCCCTTTTTGACGAACTTCCAGTTGATACCACCATCCGCGGTCATGAATGTATCGGCATCTTTGTAATCAGTGAGAAACTCCCCAACATTGCCAACACCCAGCATTAATCCAATGGCTGATTGAGACGAGAATGTATGGGATTTGTCAGATCTCTCAGTATAACCATGAATATTCAATGAACATTTATCCAATGAGCCACTGCATCCCCATTTCTTCCCGTCGGGGGCTTTTGCAGGAGGCTTCAATGCATCCCATTCCGCACCATCATTGTGAGTAATCAGAGTCTTTAACCTCTTTTTCTCCTTCTTATAGTTCTTAGATCCTGCATTCGCAACAACGTTGACCATTGCGACTCCTTCAAGGCCAAACATTTTCTCAAAGTCCACATAACCAGCGCTGTCTCTGTCCACAGCATTTAGACTCAAGACGTACGAAGTACCATTAGAATTACTTTTCATGATGGATCCATATTCGTAACCCTGCTCATTATTGGTTGTGACATGAAGGAATACAGAATGAGTGGAGCTATCGAGCACAGTGTAGCCAACTTGGTGATCCATTTCAAACCCATGTGGGAACTTGGCGTCAGCGAAAGTAACTCCATCAAAACTCGCGTCGACTTTCAAAGTTTTATGCTCCTTATCCTTGGTGGCGACAACAATGAACTCGGACATCGTAGCGAAATCAACCACATTACTGAAGTGCACAGTAGGAGGCTGGTCGAAGAAGTCCGTACTGGAGACAAGTTGATATGGGTTATCGACTTCATTGTTTTCGCGTTCTTTGGTTTCGCAATAAATCAATTTGTCGTTACGTTTTTGATTTGCGGCTTCCTTGATGAACTCGCACTTTCGGACATACCGCTGAATCGTTTTCCAGCTATCTCCTCGGTCTTGCGTGAGTGAAGCTTCCGTGTGACAGTTATCACGACCATCACACTGCTCGCCCATCCAAATGAACCAGTCCTTATTTCTAGGATGGAAATTCATTATGGTGGCGTCATGGTCTGGTGGATGAGGGGTCTTGAAGCTCCTAATATTCTCTCCACGATCAACAGAGTAGAAAACCTTATCCGTTTTTGTCAAGAAAAACACCACATCATTGAAATACTGATTGGTGTAAATTCGAACGATATCTTCATCCTTCAAGATTTGCTTCCACCTTTTTCCATGATCGTGAGTGAGCCAAATAGAATTTTGGTCGGTTTGTAATACGATTGTTTCATCAATGTTCTTACTGATGCCAGTTCGCTCGAGATATTGTTTGTCAAGGAATGCTTTGCCCTTGAATGTGAATTCTGTCGAATTCCCTTTACCGGAAGCAGGAGGACCCACGGCAGTCGCGCATTTATGTTCAACTGGATCGTCCTTCTGCTTGCCACTTTCTCGCTTACATGTATTTCCTGTTATCAAACGCCATCCGGAAGAACCAAGGAATTTTTCATCAGCACCGGACGCTTTACAGCTACCTTCGGGAACGACTAAAGCACCTTTTTGTATACATTCTTTGCCATCATCACTTCTGATAAAGTTGTAATCGCACTCGAAATCAGCATCAGTGCAAGGACAATTGTCTGTTTGAACAACTGGAACTTTGAATTCTTGTTTGTTGAAACAATCTGCGTCGGCCTTGCGACGTTCAAAATATTGGGTGTGGCCCATGAGACAAGCGGGGTTGCCATCATGGTCTAGCCTCGCGTACCATTTCTCCATATCATCTTTTTTGCATTGTTTTTCGTGCATTTCGTCAAAGTTAAGTGCGATCATATAGTAAGTCTCCTTCTTGTCGGATTCATCCAAACCAATTAGGAGAAACTTGAGACTTGTCGAATCCGAAGTTGTGACCAACTGGAGTGGACGGATTTTATGCTTGAGTTCGAGTTCCTTCCAATCTTTGCCGTGGTTTAATGAGTACTTGACGACCTTTGTATGGTCATCATGTACTGCCACCAGGATGGATCCCTGATCTCCAAATTCGTACTTGTGCGGTCCATCGAGAGCATGATGCCATGTGACTCCTGCATCATCTGACACATAAAGGTTCGCTTTATCCCATTTACCCAAGAAATCTCCTGTGTTACCATTTCCCATGACTAGACCGGGAGCCGGACTGGAGAAGACCCGGCCAGAATTGTCCAATTCTGTAACGGAGTGAAGGTGCAGATCTTTATCTTTTACCTTGAGAGGTTGCCAAGTTCGTCCATCATCAAAACTGATTTTTGACTTGATATTCTTCGTCTCAAAAATACTTTCCTCGACTTTCTCGAAGTTATCAACCACGTTAACCATCACAATTCCTTGAACTCCGGCTATCTTCTCGAAGTCAACAATGCCATCCATATCTCTATTTGTGTGCTCAATATTTCGGGTGAAATATGTTCCATTCGAATTACTAGTGAACATGGCCCCCATAGCATTGAGTGGACGCGTGCTCAGAACATCGATTTGAAGACTGTAATTGGTTCCTTCCAAGATTGTATATGCCTTCTGCGTCAACTTAGGGTTGTGCGGAAATTCTGCTCGGTGCCATTTAATGGCATCATGGGAAACATAAAATGCCAGCTCATCAGTACGGGCAGCACCTGCAGCGGTGATCAAGAACTTCTTATGAGATACAATTTCAACAATTCCTTGGACCGTCCGACCTCGCTCTAGCTCCGGCTCAAATTCTTGTATATCATTGTGGTCCGAAGTGAAGAAGTCGTCAGAGATGACAAGTCGGTAGTTCTCTCTCCATGGAGAATATTTGCCTTTGGCTACACACAGAATCCGGCCGCTTGTCAAGGTCCTTCTGATCAGTTGTAAACTCCGGTGATGAGACTGCCCAGACACAGCCTACGGTATCAGAACGTAGGAATTTAGGAGTTTCGACAAATCCGTTGGTGGTGTACAGAGTCTGTTGGAAAATATCAGCAAATGACTTTTAACAAAGATCATATCTTCTCACCAATTCTTCGCAGAAGATCCCCGTGCAGTCCATCGCATTGAAAAGAATCCTATCCGGATCTGCTGCATGATAACTCAAGGCCGGCCTGAATACACTAGCTTTAGACTCCGTATCAAACTTCTCCCAATGCTCTCCTCTATCCTTCGTTGCCCAATGACTTTTCTCCGACGTTATAATGTATGCTCTCTTTGGATCGTATGGATGCATTGAGATTTCCAACATTTTGCCCGCAGGAACGGCATCGATTTTCTTCCATGTCTCTCCTGCATCGGCCGACCTCCACACAACCGCATCTACTCTATCCTCATACAGCAGGACATCGGAATCGTCAAAGTATTGCAAATTGTGTGGTGTATGTTCTAATTTAGCGTAACTCACCCCAGGCGCATCTTTCTTTCCCCATGCGCCGGTGCAGAGGAGTGTTGATATTAGAAGGCACCGCCATCCTGTCTCAGAGCTCCGTAGCCTCATCTTCGCGAATTGGGTGTGATACCGGAGCGCATGAAGCTTCGATAAGGATCACCAAATGGCGACTCGTTGATGACGGGAATATGTAGTATTGTGTTTCTGTGGTCAATTTGATAGAGTAAAGTAAAGGTTGGTAATAACAAGAAAGCGTAAAATGGATTGCGTGTCTTTTGGAAACCGCCTTGATGATGGTGGTAGCTATTCGTTTCAGGCACTTTTTGCGCCACACCACCCATGTGCCTCAAACTTGGTCGGATCGGACCTATCAATGATGAATCAAGCAAGAACCAGATTGACGTTAAAGATCTATTTCTGGTACAAATTGTGGTGGAGAATATTTATTTTTAATGTAAGACTATCAAATGTATCAATATTATTCTATTTGAGACTTCTCCGTAGATAGATAATTATATCCGGAGTACGGGGTTTTTATTCACTGCAATCACCTGTTGTTTATCACAACTGCGGAATATGAACGATAATTAATGACCGTTAACCTTACCGTGAACGTAAGCCTGGACGTTTGGAGGAATGTTCTTTGTCAAGCACCATGGCAGCGGCTAATTCTTCTCAATACATTATTCTTTCCGCTATGGAAATATGATTAATGCCAGTGTAAAAAGTGTAGGTAGGTATTAACTCTATTTAAACAATCCTTCCACCATATTGCTCTAGCATCGATCAAGATTTCCAGATTCCAGATAGACAGCAGTCCTTTCCTGAACCCATTCAACATAATACACCAAATCCCGCTGTATCAACCCTATCCCCCCATATCAACCCGTCAAATCCACCCCAATAACCAAACAATCTAGAACCCCCAAGCCCTTTAAAATACTCCTCATCAACCTCAAACCCCAAACATCACTAACTACATGTCCAAGGAGTTTAGCGAACAAAACACTCACTCCCTCCAACTAATAAAATATACACAAAGATTCACTCCCTCTCACTCCCTTCAATAAACATAATCTTACAAATACACTCTCCAAAAACGAGTCCATAACGAACCTCATTAGCCCCAGCCCAATAAATCAATCTCAATCTCAATCTCAGACTCAAAACCCCCTATCTATTCACATCGCCATACATACAAACCCAGCCTGCATGCATACACGCAACCAAACCCAACATAAGAGAGACACCACCAGTACCAAGTAAATAATCTTACAAAGCCCAATGCCGACAAAATGAATAGAATAGAATAGAATAGATAGATACCTAGATAGATAAATACAAGAAAAAAAGATCCCGCTAAAAATACTCGACAAAGAATATAACTTTCTGATGTAGATATAAATATAAACATGCCATCCAGCCAGTAACAGTAACAGTAACAGTAACAATAACAATAACGATCACGACGGTTTCCGCTGACTCTTAACTTTTTTCCAAAATCGTTTTACGACTCCATTTTCCTTCTCGATTGATCCCCAACTATCCACTCCGCCTATGGGCCGTAAACATTTTTGATTTTCCACATCTTCCATTATTAGCGGCTCTTTGGATTGCCATCCGTATATAGCACTTTCATCTCGGAGGTCCTGCCGTGTAAGTGTCATTCTTAAGGTGGGTTCCCGATTTCCTGCCATACATTGCGTATATGAATCTTGCTGTTTGCCGGGTAGTTTAGTATTGCCTGGCTGGTAATCTGCAAGAGGTTTGCCGTAATAATATGATGGGGATCGCTGTGATGGAAATCCGCTTTCGTATTCTAGTGGTGTTATAGGTGCGTCGGAGTCAGCCATTGATCTATCGTCTTCGAATAATGAAGCTGTGTCGTCGTTAAAGAATGTGTGCTCAAATGCCGGACTCGATATTTTCTTCCTCAACATATCCCTCGACGAGCGTCTGGATATTAATTTCGGGGGTCTATTCTCCCTGTCTGGTGTTCCCACTGTGGCGTCCATAGATGGAAATCCAAACTCGATTATTTCGTCAAATTTTTGTGGTGATGCTAAGTAAACTCGTAGTTTTAGTCGTGCTTCAGGATCTTGATAATGTGTTGCGTTAGGGTCGATCGATGATAAGGAGGAATTAACTTTGTGTCTTGCGGCGTGCTTTGGTCCACCGGCTGGAAGACCTCGAGATTTTGAACGAGAATGTGTGCTGAAGGTAGGTGATATTATGCTTGGAGATTTAGGCTCCGGAGAATGTATGGGACTTCTTCCAAATGGAAGTTTCGAAATCGACATTTGTCGTCGAAATGATGGTTTCCGATCACTGTTTAGAGAAGGGAATATCGAAGCATGATAATCATCCAAATGAAGGTCCAATTTAGGCTCTTCATCAATCCAATGGATGCTATCAAAAAACGTATCTGCCATACTGGATAATGAGGCTCTCCTGCGACTACCGCTAGTTTTCCCACTGAAGACGGAGCTTTTAAAGCTTGGAGATAGTATCGGTGGCTCAGACGCCTTACGACGAGATCGTCTTCGAATTATGAGGTTTTCGTCCGCGGCATCTAAAATAACTGCCTCTCGTATCCTGCCTGACAAAACAGCCTGTTCTTCGCTCGAGAATTGTTTCCTTTTGATGGTATCCGGGAATGTTTCGTAATTACTTAAATACCAAGATTTATCATTGCTATGAGAGACCGATTGTTCCTTCTTCTTTTTTGATGGTTTGGAAGACCTGCGTCTAGGCTCGAGTTCTGAAATTTTTAAACCGCGGCGGTCCGCAATCGAGCTCTTACGGGTGGTCTGCACGGGAAGATCATTCAAGGCATTCGACCTAGAGCTTTGTGCGAATCGAAGGCGCTCCAGAGTGGAAAAATACTGCGAAAGCGTTCGGTCAGTACCCATCTTTGATCAATACCGGTCACAACCGCATGAGAAGAATTGCAAAACCACCGTCTCTTGTACCTGCATGCTTGTGTGTTCAAAGCGTCTGCAGATCCCGCCGCCAGTATAAATTCGAAAGATCTAGCGCTCGCCCACGCGGGAAGACACTACTAAGCATACTAATGAAAGACCTAGCTTTCGACGGCGCCTCACAGACACAGGCTAAGCTACATAGCTTCTACTTTTTCGATAGCTCAACCCTGAAATAAGAAATGAAACCCCAACCTTGTTAAATTGTGATAACCATGCTAAAGTATAATGACGAGAGTGATATATATACCTTCCGTTTTAAAGCTGGGGGAAGAGCATGAAATTCCTCATCCGTAGTAACATATCCACTCATTTCCTTTTGATGATGCTTTCGGTATAGGCTTGACGTTGGAAGAGCCGGCGAAGATTCGGGTCGAATATCGAATGAAGGTTTTTCGAGAGCAGTTGGCGAGAAGAGGTTCGAAGTCGAGAGACGTGTCGAGGCCGGGAGGGAGTAGATCGGGGTGATGTATAGCTTCCGCTCTTTCGATTTTGACGCCATGACCGAATATCAAGTCCAGAAGGATTCAGAAGATAGTAAGACTGAGTGGCTGTTCGGATTTGTTGTCTCCAGCTAATGCATCATGCACTCCGTTGCGAATCTCCTTGCGACGGGACCTCAGATATAAAAGGTTATTGGGTTCTTACCGGTATGGTGTGTGCAACCCCGGACTGATTCTACCAGGGAGCTCAAAGATTTGGTAACGTATGGGTATAGTACGGAGTACTATGGAGATTATGGATCCGTATGAGCCTCTAAAAGTAAAGTAACTCGATTCTATTATAGTTCACTTGGCATATGAGATGAGGAACAAACAATGGTTGGATCGGAACAAGCTCTATCATACAACTGGAAGCAAGCAAAAGACTGGGGATAAGATTTGGAGAACATGTGGAGAGAAAGTAGAAGGAGTCGGAAGATCTAAGAAGTTCATCTGATGATTCCAATCAATGATATTGAGACCCGTTGCTTTCGACGATCACGGTAACCGCCCATTGTGACTCCTGGGCGGCCTTTCTCACTAGCTCGTTGTCTCTCTTTTTTATCCCTCCACCGAGGTAAAGAGGTAAAGGTAAGGTTGTTGACTCGTTTGTGTTTATTCCCATCGCTATGATTCAAAATTGTCAATATTGATTCCTGATTTGCCTAGAGATCTCCACGTCCGTTCTGGAAGCACAGGGGTTTTATTCAAGGGTTGTGGTATGCAGGCACAAGCTTCAACCAATAAATTGGCCTTGTTTATGAATATCCATGGAGGATCCTTACTTTTCTACTGCGCTTTCGAAAGAATATAAGAGGGGGTATGACAGACAAAGATCAAAATTTGATCATAGCAATCGAAGCAAACAAAGTGGTGGTTCACCGGTTGTTTTTGGCATAGGAACCAAACAAGCATTTATATTGTTTTCAAATAGAGGTAAAATCCTTAGAAAATTCCTTGGGCGTTCTTTTTTTGGGGACATTGTTCGTGTTCGAATTCAAAGAAATGCCTCTTTCGCACTTTTCGTCTTTTCTCTTTTCCATAACCTTATATTAGACAGGATATGTTGCACATACATGTGATACTGTGCGGAGGATATTACTCCCACGGATAACGGACATAAAACCGTTATACAACAGTTATTTTGTAACATTGATTATTTGTGATATAAATGCATACTACATGCTATACATACCTAGTACATATGTATGCAAACACAACTTTCATTTAGGCCATACTCGTGAAGGTAACCCGAGGTCTCTGGAGTATCTGCACAAGAATCACACGACTCACCAATCACCAATAACCCTCGTATGGGATGAAGAATACCACGTGATTGTGAGTACACCAGTGTGCTGACCTACAGCCCAGAATTTATCACTTCAATATCGATGAAACCGTGCTCTATATGTTGATCAGTTGTACCGTTGCTCAAGACGTCATATCACTCCCGCGTGATACTATCAGTATCTCATAGCCAATCATTATCTATCTCATAGATTTCGCAGGGTATATACTCGAAACATGCTAGTTGGAGAAAGAAAGCTTCAAAACCTCCGTTCTTATCTCATAATGATACCAGCGGAGACTTCAAATTCTGCGCGAACCGCGTCTTTAAAATATAACGCTTCTACCTTCATATCATTGTTTTACATCTCCACGAGGAAGAGTACGAGCACAAGCAAGCGACATGGGTCTCTTCCCACACGATCGATCTGAAGTTAGGATATCCGCGCTTGCCTCACCTCCTTCGTAAAGCAGACTCCAACCATCCAGAACCCTTTCAATCATTTTTTCTATTCGAACTGACTTGCTCCTAGATTCTAAAGAACAAGATGATCAAGAACTTACATGGGAGAAGGATATACGATATACCTTCTGGAATCACTACACAGGCTTCGTTGTTCCCTGACCAGCAGGGATAAGACGCACTCAAGCACTATCTCAAGAGCATATATGATAGCCGGAGCCGCAGGACTACAGCCAGCACCACGGTCAATCGTATGAGAGTCCCAGGCATATTATCCACCAGGATAAACAGTCCAAGCTGGGTTTCAAAATGGTCGAAAAACACCCGAGCTACCGGTGCTATCCTGAGAGCCAGAAGATTGAGGCTTGCTCAAACAATACCGGTAGCTTGTAGTCCGGAGCCACAGGAGTGCACACTGCCTTGCCGCCGTGAGCAAACCACAACATCAGGGAGCACAGGGTCAATGGGTATAACATATTTACCAACATAGCAGTCGATCCTCGCATTCGGTTAGTTTTATCGTTACACCCCAGAAGAAGCATAAGTGGTACAGTACTGCAATATCTTCCTGTTATATTTGCAGGAAGTAGTGGAAGCTGTGGAATAAAAAGCAAAATGTGTTTAATTTCGTAAGCAAAAGCAATCTATGGGAGCAATATAGAACGAACGCACCGCGCCGCATCAAACTGGACCTGCATCCTTGTTTATGTGCTACAGCAAACGCATGGCACCGAGCAGTGCAAACCTCGTGGTTTCGTGGATCACATTCGAATCGTCCGAAAGTAATTGAGAGATGTACTGCAGCAAGTTAGGTCAGGATACAAAATTCCCGTCTGTACGTAGGTAGTAGAGATACGAAAGTATCCCCTTGCATAAGCTCTCGCTATAGCTTCGTGAAAACATGCAAGAATGACGCCAAGAGTTATAAGTTCTAACTCGTCGTTCACAAATAGTAATTTTTCACGTAAGCCAATATACAAAATGTACGAAAACCAACATGATATTCCTACGCGGACTGTGCTCGTGCTCGGTGTAGGACCGTAGATAGATGTACGGAGTATAGGAGAGGAGCCCCCCGATCGAAGCCTTGTGGATGGTCAGCGGCGAGGAGGAGCGGTCAGATCCTTCCGCCCACTTACTGTACAGTGTACTTACTTGCTCCGCACGGCTGGCGGCAGCTAGCTAGCTAGTTAGCTAATGTTAACATGACAACTGTCCATCCATCGAATAAAAGCGGGAGCTTTACGGAATTGGGAAAAGAGAGGAGATAGATAGGTTAGGTCCGGTGGTCCATCGTTTAAATTTATGTAATCTGAAATTGGGACAGTGCAAATCTGTGCGTTGGTTTGGATGCATATGTTCGATGTAAGAGTCTTAATATTGGTACCCGTACAGGAAAATGTCTTCTAGAGTAGAGTACGGAGAAGAAGATTTTCATATGATACCTATGTTATGATGTGATGCTATGGAGGGAACTGAAAACTACGGAGATGCATTATTATAATCTTACTTAGATACCTACCTGAGTAGGTAGGTTAGATATTAACCCCCGTATCTAACAGAATATAAGCTATGGGATTTACTTTCTAGGTATATGTATGTATATCCTCTCATATAAATTCTTAATCATAACTCCAAGATGTTCCGATAAAGTCATACATAGTAAGATTATAATTTCATAAGAATAACCTACCTATAGCTACTAGGTAGGTACTAGATATCCTCAGCAAAAAATTTCTCTCCAAACAATTCAAACAATTAATTCCCCACCTTCCCATCCCCAAAACCCCCATACCACCAAAACCTGAGAAGTATCAGTATCATTATCATTATTAAAACTTATCTGCTACAGAACAGAATATTTATTGATATCACACGTATCACATGATTTATTTCCCCCCAGCACGCATCCTCGCATGCATCATCTCATTATACTCCGTGAATTATGCTATGCTGTGTTTGCGTTATCGTGGCTGTATAGTTGGTAAGGTAAGGCTTATTAGGTAGCCTCACCTAGGTACTTTTACTTTACTTCGTACACCATAATATCATAATATCAGGATATCAGGATTAATTCTCGATAACATATTCTGTATATATACTCTGTAAGGTTAGTTAGTTTATTATTCCAATATTCCCATAAAGATTCCAGAGTATAATCCATTAGACAGAACGTAGAATGTAGAATTTAAAAGCAGCATCAATCCCAATTAATAACTCCAATTCTCCGTATATCTCGGTCTTTGCCGTTACTGGTTCACGATTGTTGCTTTGGTTGCGTTGGATTAAGCTTACCAACTGAGCGTGTGTGTTCCATCCAGATTCCAACTAATACCTAACAACTATTCTAATAAATTCCTAAATTCGATAGAACACCAGAACAGAACTACCTTACTAATAACCCTGATCATCCCCAACAAGAAGTCGATCTCTTCCTATTATCCCTCGTATAAAATTACCAGTAAGATAGGTAGGTAGATTATTTGTCGTCCCAATTTTAACAATTTTAACCATTCGGTCTCGGATGACCATTGACTTGGTATGATTGTTTGTTGTCTCTAAGGTCTCCAGATCCCATGCATTTTTTAAATAGTGTATCCGGTTCCTCGGTAACTTACGTACTTCATTCTGTGGTTGACTGGTTTGTTTGCTTCCTTGAACCCTCTTTTTGTTGTCTATCGTTATTTTATTGGGTTTTAGTATAGTATAGTATAGTATTCTGTGTTCTTTCTTGGGTGCTGCTAGTTGGGATTCTTTCGGTGGTATGGTTGGGGTAAGGTTTATACCGGCCGGTACTTCAGTAGTGATGCTTTTGTTGCGAGTTTGTAATGGTAATGTTAACTTAAAATATGAGTACCTAACCTTAGATCAGCTGGGAATATACTGGTAGTTAGGAACTTTAATATTCGTGAGTAGTAAGTAAGTACTCTGTACATGAGGTCACTTTATTCTAGAAGCCTTTCTGTTCCAAATATTTGAGTGTGATACTCAACCATAAAGTAAATACTGAATAACAAGGAGTCCGCCCAAGACACCAACGTCAGATGCTCATTTAATCACATCTTGCTAAGGCTCAACAACCCATCTCCAGATTGATACAGAGTACACATCTTCCTTTCCCTACCTATCTATACCATTTCCCTATACAGAGCAATAGATTACTTATCCTTGATTCCCTCTCCAAAAACGAAACATCTACATATCTACATATATATATTACATAATCGATATGACCCCTCTAAATGAATATATACATGTAAGTCTTACATACTCGTATATGTATCTTATATATCTATGCAACAAAACCCTATCACAGCAGTTATTACATCACATTATAATACATTTTTCGATTCGAAGGAACCCCTCCTCGAGCTCCATAAGGTAGGTAGGGTAAATTACCCACCAATCTTCGCCGCACAGTTAGCTACACATCAAGATAATTACCCAATCTTTAATTGAACAACTAACTATTGGGCTCCTTATTTCCTAATATGATCGTAAAGTTAAGGTTATATGGTGGGGATATCCTGTTCGGGAATATGTTATTCTAGATAAGTTGATAGTGTACTGTATTGTTTATTCATCAATATCACAACTCCTACACGCGCAGAAATGTTCCATCGTGAATCAACCCCTCATTTCATTTCGGTTCATTGCTACATATCTCAGAAAGTAGGTATCGTTGCTGCACCAAAAACTAAGAAATCAAGAAACCAATAGAAAAATAAATTAATAGGATAATAGAAAAAAATACCATCCAACTTCTATGAATCCCACAAACTAATCACATCCATCCACCCACCCAAATACCTCTCTCCCTCCCTCGCTCGCTCTCTCACTCCCTCCAGAAACCCAAAGAGTGACAATACGGGCTCGGGCTCTAACCCGAGCCCTGTCTCAGACAAACGGAAAATTCCAACCCATCAATTCACCAATCCATTAATCCCCCAATACCACAATGCCAACACCAACAACACCAACAACGTGACGCGATACGATATGAGATGATAAAATATGGCACGGACATAAGTAAGATGAAGTAACATCAAACCGACATCGAGCTATCGAGCCATCATGAAATCAAAGTAGTATTCCCGCAGACAGCGGGAAGCGAAATAAATTTCCATTCTATTCTACTCTAGTCACTCTTCTCTATCCTCCATTCTCGGGAAAACAAAAACGAGAAATAGGAGACGGGATAGATCGCTTATGGTATATTTATTATATTACATACATATCATTATACCTAAGAGGAATCATACATACCTAAATAATTACTGGGTAATCTACGAAGTATTCGGCGTCTTAAATCGGGGATACGGTTAGGAGTAACTGGATGGGTCGGGTCGTGTATTGATTGGAATCTTGCAATTGCAATTGAGCCTCGATATATGTATGTATACATGCATGTATGCATGCATAGGGATATACATACGCAGTAAGCAAGAAAGAAGGTCAGCGCGATAGACGAGGAAAAAATATTTTTTTAGGGAGAGAGTGAGAACTTAGAAGGTGTTATTGTTTTTTTTTTTCCTTTTGATTTGGCTGTTATCGGAGATGTAGGGGTTCGATTTTGGGCTTCCCGATGGGATATTTCTTGCTTGTGGATGGGTTGTATTCGGTGTATAGGTAGGTAGCTAGCTATAGGGCTGGCTACATGCAAGTAAGATATTATATTAAAGGAGAGCTGTGATTCGCTTGCTCGTTTTATTAGGTCCTTTTGAACCTATGGGATATGCTATGTTATCTTACGAGATAGTTTGTATCAAGGTCAATGATGATTTGTTGTGAGAGGTCAAAATCACGATAAAATTAACATGCTAAAAAAAAAAATAGATAACTTTTGATTGTCATGCGAGCAAGCAAGCAAACTAACGACTAGATATTTATGATCCCTTCATCAAAACCCCAAATAGAATTTTCCACCCTTATCAACCATTGAAGCCAAAGTCGGCCAAAATAATAAAGTAAATTGGTATCGATTCTTCGTCCCATTTCCGGTATGTATGGCAGTATACAGATCCTTCCATCCGACCATCCATCCATCCATATACCCATCTTTCAACCTTTAACCATCAGCTCAAGAAACCCAGTTCCATCATTCATAATTCAAGAAGCATAACGAATCAGATTACCATCGTGGAAGCAAAAAGCATGTACTGTGAAGTTGCCGTATGTCCCAAAAGATCAAACGCGCCACCAAAGCAAAACGAAGCGAGTAAGCAAGCAAAATAGAAAGAAAAAAAAACTTTGAAAGAAAATCGTCTTTAAGGTTTGCTCGCTCAGATGATATCAAGAAAGATAAAAACTCGAATGCAGAAATATTGCACTAAATAAACCATGCGCGCGCGATGGAGATCAAAAGATCAGAATATGTACCCTTGTACCACCAACGAAGGTCAACTCCGTAGGCACCACCAAAGCAAAGCACTATCTATCTACCATTATCTTACTTAATGAGAATGACCAAATCCTCTAGGAGGATGAAGAAGTGGGTTTGGGGAGAGAATGCAAAGGGTCCCAGTATTCGTAGACTCGGTTCTCTTTGTTTTTACCAGTGACGGCTGGAGCGGTGAATGTTGAGCGGCCGGTAATAGGATCGTAGGAATCATATGAAGCGGCGAGACGTTTGCCGCCGCCACCGGGAAGATCAACGACGAAGTTGGGTGTTACGAAACCACCGATGGAGCCGCGAATGTGGCGTTCGAGTTGGAGGATTGTTGAGAGTGGCGTGCGGAGATCTTCCACATATTGTACCATATCGGCCTGGTAAACATAGTACTAGAAAATGTTAGTGTGTGTACGGCATTGTATTAATAGCGAAAACTTGAGGAGATGGGAGTGGGTACGGGGAGACGTACGGGAATAATGTTATTATCAGCCACAGTTTTGATGAGGTTACTCATGGTGGCTACATCATCATTGACGCCTTTAAGTAAGACAGTTTGATTTCGCACGGTGACATTATTTTCGTGTAGTCTCTGAAGGGCCATTCTTGAAACCCAGGTCATTTCACGTGGATGATTGAAATGCGTATGGATAGCCATACTCTTGCCTGCCTTCTTAGCCAAAGCTGAAAGACGAATCATCTCAGCTGCCCATCCATCGCTGTCATCAAGAATGCGAGCAGGAGATACAGCTAGGCCTTTTGTGGCAAAGCGAAATCGTTTGATGTGGGGAATTGAGATGAGACGTTCACCAATAAGTCGAATATTTTCGGCGGTTAAAATGTAGCAGTCTCCGCCAGAAACAACTATGTCTTGGAGTTGAGGGGTATCTTCAATGTAAGTAAAGATATCTTCCCAGCGTTTTCGCTGAGGTTTAAAGGTGGTTTTCTTGACGTTTTGCATGTCCGGTCCGATGGACCATGAACGAGTACAAAAGCGACAGTAGAGCGGACATTGTGATGTTGCTTGAATAAGTCAGCACCATGATGATTACTTTGAAAGTGAGGGAAACTTACCTAAGAATAAGGCTTTGTCGTAGTACCTATGAACGAAGCCTTCTACGGGAGAATCATCCGACTCATGCAACGAGTCCAGTTCAACCTTTGGATGGTCCTCTAGTTTGCTTGATTTCATTGGAATAAATTGGCGACGGATAGGATCATCAAATGGATTTTCCCAATCAATGATACTCAGGATATGAGGTGGCAGGCGAATCGACATTGGCGCTAATTTGATTCCCTCTTTGACATCCTCAATGAAGTCTTCTCGGGTTATAATGCCTGGGAAGTCTGGGTGTCTCCGAAGTACCGGTGGTAAAACTTCCAACATGAAAACTTCCAGTTGCATTATAGTGGATATGGTATGAATTGTCTGCGAAAATGTATCAGCATTTGTGAACTTTGAATGGCTCATAGAACTGGGGAACTTACATGAAACTTGTATTTCAAGAATTGAGCTTCAGTGATATCTTTCCAGCGAGGAATCTTTTGCCAGTACGCGGTCCTGTCAGAAAGGGCAGAATCGTAAACTGGTAATCCAGGTACTTTGGCAGTATTTGGAGGTTCGTAGGGTGCTGGCATAGGCCCATCATGGAACATAGGAAGATCGGTCACAGCTGCTCGACCTGATGCATTTGATCGAAATTGTCTTGTGGAAATGAGGGGTACTTTGGATTTCGAGGTTAAGTTTCGTGATGCGATCTGGACGCATTTTCGAGGTACTGCATCAGTTTTCACCCTTGTTGATCTTGTGAAAAGGGAGGGGCAGTGTTTGGCCGCTGGGGCGATTTTAGTTCGTGCTATTCCTCCAAGCATTTTGAGTGTTGGTTTGAAAACGAAATAAGTGCTTGTGAAAGTTTGTGGAGCTGTGTACTTGATCAGTATTTATGAAGATAAGGTTGAAAGTGGTGGTTTTTATAGAGAACAATAAAGCCAACTGAAAGATGCTGTTGGTGATGATTCACCACGGAGGTAAAGATCCCCTTCTAGGTTGTACTGCGTATCAAAGTTGATGAATACTTACAAGCTCGTATTAGTCTAATTAGAGACAATACTGTTATCTCCATGCAAAGGATAATCCACACACACAAAGGTGAATCAAAATTATGGACTGATTGCAAGATCAGGTGACGAGTCAAAAGGTTTGAAGCAAGCAATTATATTAAAATGCAGGTCTCTCTCCCAGGAAAGCTGTACTCCTATGCTGTGCTCACACATACAACTACCCAAGGATGTATTTATGCTCGGAGCCTCGAACGACCAGCTGACCCGATTGAACTTGAGGATTGGCTCGAATCAGGAGCACGTTAGACAGTTTATAAGTATGTGACGTGAGACGCCCTTGATTGGTGAAAAACTCAGGAGAATAGGATAATTTCTAGAGTTCAGGACCCACTACAGTACTGCCTATCGAACTGTTGCATGCGTGTGTTCATAAGTGCGTATATATGACTGATGCAAGAGATGTCGTTGGTCGTACAGTCTAGCAGATTCTTCGAGGTCAGTCGATATAAATTCGTGCCTCAACTTTCCAATATCAGCAAAGATAGTTTCCCGGCAGTTTGGGCCTCGGCCGGGGAAGTTGTGATGCGTACAGAAGTAAAGCCCGGCTGCAGAGAATTATGTCGTCTGTTGGATAATTTGGAAGACCTTATTGGACGAATCGGTATTGGCGATTCTAGAAAAAAAGGTGTGTGTTAAATGCAATGCTGTACGACCTCTGCGGACGCGAATCATGCCCTGGCAGCAAATTAGGAGCGTCCCGACATCTGCAACTGCATAAAAGCACGCAAACAATGGCGATCATTAATAACTTCTATCAGAACAAGATTTTCAGAGGATATTGCCCGCCTTTAATACAAACATTTGCACTAAACTATATTGCCGCCTGCCAAAGCCACTACACTGTTGCTTTCTTCCATCTCGTAACAAGTTGGACATGGTTAATGCAGTTCTAGCCATCGGAAATATAATTGCGTTCAGTTGCATGGTAGTGACCAACAGAAGGAACAAGCTTCCATCCTCAATTGGGAACAGTGGAGGAAGGGTCAGCTTCAAGCCTTCAAATCTTACCGATTACTTTATGTGGACGAGGCGGCATGGCGACGAGGTACAGCACCTGTTTGGACAAGAGAGCTGCATGTGCTACTACATTGGGTAGTCTTTCATGTCAGTACTAAATGATAGAATTTACAAGGCGTCAGCACTTAAATTTTCGACGTTGAAAGTACTTCTCAACGTTTATCGGCGATATCGAAAAAACCGCCACCTTTCGACAACACATTTACGATAATTTTGGAGGGGTCATGGTATTCGCATGATACTTCGCATAATGCTTGTACTTTAGCAAGCCCCGAGTAGTACAGGAAAAACTTAAACAGAAACATAAACTAACGATATCAAAATACGTATATGCATTGAAAGGATTCATCTTATCTCATCATTACCTTGGATAATTGACAAGATAGATGTGTTTTTGTAAAGTAGGGCCAATGAATCAATAGACTAAACATCGTGCATGGGGTTTAAAGATAGAATAGGACATGCAGACCGATACTAATTGGGTAGTTCCGAAGTATTGAATACTACTTTCGTGAATAAGCTCAATGTTGAGGCTTGATGGACCATATTGTTGGAAAGCAAAAAAGGTGTCAAGGAAGATTCGAGTTTTCCCATGGCCCCATGGGTGCAATCTTCATCCGATTCTGCACTCTTGGCAACAGCCATGGCCCGCTTGGTCCTCAATTTGTGGAAGCTGTACGAAGCAGTTACATGTGCGATGACAGCAGCAATGGTGCAGGAGGCAGGAAGTAGTTCTTTACCCATGCTATCTTCCTACCTATCAGACGTTCATCAGATGACACCAAGATGATCCCTCCGAGGCCAGGGTTTTAATGTATTGAGGGATTCATAAAAAGCGTGATTTTTAAAAGATTAATTGAAGAGAACGATCAAAATAATAGGTAATTGTTAGGTAAATCTTAGTATTCGGGTCCCTCGAATATTGAAAATGTTTCATACGTGGTGTATCAAAAATAAAAAGGGGACTTTTGGTATGGTACGAAATAAAATGAGGGGTCCTTGGAATATGTATATAGATATGTATGATGGATGTATGTGTGTATGTGTAAGTGTATATGAATATGAATATGTATATGTATATGTATATGTATATGTATATGTATGTATAGAAGGGAGAGAGTGAAAAGAGATAAAGTACTGATACGAGCAGGATACTCTCTTGTATTTTGGGGGTACTTTGATATTCTGGTACTCTGACCTTTGATGCTTGTGTATGTGAGTGCGTGGTGTAGGTTGCTCTCTTGACCGATGAGAGTTTTGAACCCAGTACGAGTACCAGCGAGAGGTTGTTGATGTTGTTGATGCTGTTGATGCTGTTGATGCTGTTGATGCTGTTGATGCTGTTGATGTTCTCACCAAAATTTCATTCCTCCATTACTCCATCCACGGTTTCTTCCGATGCCGAAATAACGCGGGTAGATGAGCAAAAAAGAGTTACGACACGTGATTTTCTACGCTAGTTTTAGTTTTCCTGCTGTTTGAGAAGTACAATCTCCATTTTCCTCCAGCAAGGTCTTGATACCACCCACTCTACCTCCACCACTTTAAATCTCCTCTCTATCAATTGCCTTGTTGTAGCAATTGATTTTCCTTAATACCCTTCAACGCATAGTCTTTGGTCAAGATGTTCAGAAACGCTCTCAAGCAGTCCAGCAGGACGGTGGGCGCAATTTCTGCTTCCGGCAGAATTGCCACGGTACGTCAACAAACAAACTTCTTACGTTACTATGTCACTATTTTCACTTCGCTACCTATCAATATCTATCTTATTAGATGTTGTCTATAGTGTCAATGGACGTTGGGAAGTGATGGTGTTGATGTTATTAAGCTTCGGGAAAGCTTCAAGAGCTTGTTGACGAGGATTTTTCGGACTTCGGCTAACTAAACGTTTTCTGCACAACAGCGCACTGCCATTCCAGCAACCTTCAACGCAGCTTCAAAATCAGTTCGAAGCTATGCATCTGATGCTAAAGCCTCCCCCACCGAAGTCTCCTCCATTCTTGAGCAAAGAATTAGAGGTGTTCAAGAGGAATCCGGTCTCGCCGAGACTGGACGTGTTTTGTCTGAAGGGTATGTTATTCAACAATAATTTTATACTCGGGTCCCAACGGCTGCAGTCATATCACATCGATGTGAATTCCGAATATGTGGA